CCTGGGATAGTTGTCCACATCCAGACAGTCTGCATCTCCTAGGGAAGTCAAAACTGTCCCCTTCACAAAAAGACTAGCAGTCTCTCTCGTCCATACCCAACGCCCAAAATATACCCTGCAAACCCTGTGCTCTACCCTAAACCAACCCCCCATGACCCATCTTTCTCTGTGCCCACACCATGCCCTGAGCCCATGGCATCCCTGTGACCTGCTACCTCTATGCACACTATACTCTGCACTCTCTGTGCCCCACCCTAAAGTAGTTCCCCACCTCATTTTATGCCCACACCACGCCTTGTGCAACCTCTGTTCACCCCTGGAGCCCCCATGCCTTGTACCCCACTTGTCACGTCTTTGGATCCACAATGCCCTCATGCTCTGTGCTTATTCCATGCCCTGTTCCTCCCTGTTCTCATCCCTAGATGCACGGTGAACTCCATATGCTGTGCCCCTCTGCTCTCATGCCTGGGCCACAATGTCCCCCATCCCCTGTTGCCTCTGCTTGTAATATGCCTGTACTCCTCTCTTCCCACCTCTGGACTCATAGTGCTCCCTGTGACTTGTGCAATCTATTTTGAACTTGGTACTCACATCATACCCTGTATTCCTCTGTTCTCACCCTAGTCTCACAGTGGCCTCCATGCCCTGTGCCCCTTTGCTCTCATCCCTAGGCCCATACAATGCCCTGTGCCCCTCTGCTCTCACCCTGGGCCCACAGTGCCCCCATACCCTGGACCCACACCATGCCCTGTGCCCCTCTGCTCTCATCCCTGGACCCACACTATGTTCTGTGCCCCTCTACTCTCATCCCTGGGCCCATACCATGCCCTGTGCCCCTCTGCTCTCATCCCTGGGCCTACACTATGCCCTGTGCCCCTCTACTCTCATCCCTGGGCCCACACCATGCCCTGTGCCCCTCTGCTCTCATCCCTGGGCCCACAGTGCCCCCATGCCCTGGGCCCACACTATGCCCTGTGCCCCTCTGTTCTCATCCTGGGGCCCACACCATGCCCTGTGCCCCTCTGCTCTCATCCGTGGGCCCACACTATGCCCTGTGCCCCTCTGCTCTCATCCCTGGGCCTACACTATGCCCTGTGCCCCTCTGCTCTCATCCCTGGGCCCACACCATGCCCTGTGCCCCTCTGTTTTCATCCTGGGGCCCACACTATGCCCTGTGCCCCTCTGCTCTCACCCTGGGCCCACAGTGCCCCCATGCCCTGGACCCACACTATGCCCTGTGCCCCTCTGTTCTCATCCCTGGGCCCACACTATGCCCTGTGCCCCTCTGCTCTCATCCCTGGACTCACACTATGCCCTGTGCCCCTCTGCTCTCATCCCTGGGCCCACATTATGCCCTGTGCCCCTCTGCTCTCATCCCTGGGCCCACACCATGCCCTGTGCCCCTCTGCTCTCATCCGCGGACCCACAGTACCCCCATGTCCCCTGAAGTTCATCCACAGGGATCTGGCAGCCAGGAATGTGCTCGTGGGGGAGAATCTGGCCTCCAAGATTGCAGACTTTGGACTGTCCCGGGGGGAGGAGGTCTATGTGAAGAAGACGATGGTGAGTCTGAGGCCGCTCAGCCCAATCCTCAGGGCCCCCCCAAGCCTCCATGTCCCCAGTCACCCCAATCCTATTATTCCCCCAGTACACCTCACTTCCCCCCTCCTGACACTCTCACTTGGTGTCTCCTGGGTCCCAGGGCCGGCTCCCTGTGCGCTGGATGGCCATTGAGTCCCTGAACTATAGTGTCTACACCACCAAGAGTGATGTGTGAGTGAGAAGGGGCATTTAGGAGAAGCAGACATGGGATGTGGGGGCTGGGGAGAGAAGGGTGACAGGAGAGGGATGGAGGGGGGTGATGGGGTGGGGAGAGGAGAAAGGGTGACAGGGTGGGTATAAGGAGAGGAGATAGGGTGAGCAGGAGAGAGAGGAGGGGTGACAGGCTAGGGGCAGAGAGCAGAAGGGGTGATGGGGTGGGGTAAGGGACAGGACAAGAGCTAAAAAGTGAGTGTAGGGAGAGAAGGGGACAGAGTGAGAATGAGGGAAGGAGAAGGGCACTGGCTAGGTCTGGGGGGTAGGGAGGGAGCAGGGGAGCCTGGTGGGGCTTGGGGAGCAGTGGAGATCCCTGGGGATAGATCTAGGCTGAGGGCTCAGCCCAGAGGCACCCTTGGGTCAAAGCCACAAGGACATTTAGGCGGGGTTGAAGGAGTGGCGAGGTATAAGGGAGCTGGTTGAGGGTCTGGGGAGCCTGGTCTGGGTTTAGGAAACATTGTCCACCCCCCTCCCCCCATCTCCCAGTGGATGCCTCCTCCCCAGCCCAGAGGCCGGGAGGAGAGAAGGCCTTATTGTTCCATCGTCCAGTGCATTGTTCTTTTGGGACACTGTGACATTGTTGTCCATCAGGCTGAGTCTGGCCCCAGTGATTCCCAGCTGGTGCCCTGGAAAGGAGGGGATGAGTCTGTGAGGGAGGGGTATATGCGTGGCACCCTGACTCACACAGGCTGAACAAGGCTACTCTCTTCTCTCTGCAGTTGGTCCTTCGGGGTTTTGCTCTGGGAGATCGTAAGCCTTGGTAACGCCCTTGCCCCTATTAGTGTTCCCCACTTCCACCCCAGCCCTCCCATCTCAGTCCCGAATTCTCAGGCATGCTATGGATTACAGCCCCAGCCCCCTGTCCAGGTCCCCACATTCCAGGCCCCAAAACCAAAGTCATTGCCATGGAAACCTATCTGCAATCCCTCAGTCGTACCCCCAGCACCCCCTAAATGGCCCACCCCCTACTCGAATCTCCCTGTGCCAGTCCCTGCCCTGGTGCCGGGCAGGGGAGGGATCTAAGGCCAGGCCTTCTCTTGCAGGGGGCACACCGTACTGTGGAATGACATGTGCTGAACTCTATGAGAAGCTGCCCCAGGGTTACCGGATGGAGCAACCTAGGAACTGTGATGATGAAGTGTATGTGAGGCCCAGCCCCTTTCTCACCCACACCCTTGAGGGCCCCCAGGCCTTTGGACTACGTGCTGGCAGTGCCCAACTTCAGCAGAGGGTCAGGGGCGTGCCGCTCGTCAAGCCTGAAAATAGGCTGAGACTAGAGGGTCCTGGAACTTCAGTCTGCTCAGACTGAGTCAGTGTCACCCCGCCTCCACCCTGCCCTCCACTCCCCAGGCCTGAAGGGCAGAGTCCTCCCGCTTACTGTCCAATCTCATGGCTGGTGATGCCTCACACTCCCACACACTATTCATACCAGGCCTTGAGGTTAGTGATTCCTCATCCCCAGAGCTCAGGGTCCCCGTCCTCCCATCTTCCAGGGCCCAAGGACCTATAACCTCCCATCTCCTAGGCCTGAGAGTCAATGAAAACCCTCCCCCACCAGGGCCTGAGGGTCAGTGTTCCCCCAAACTGCCGATCGGTGATGCCTCACACTCACCCACACACATCCACACCCCAATCCCGGGGATCCATGTCCCCACATTCCCAGGTCTGAGAGTTGGTGACCTCCCCCCATAGGTATGAGCTGATGCGCCAGTGCTGGAGGGATCGTCCGTATGAAAGACCGCCCTTTGCACAGATCTCCCTACAGCTTGGCCGCATGTTAGAAGCCAGGAAGGTGAGAACATCCGGCTGACCCCAGGAGGGGAGGCCAGCTCCTGGAACCTGGCCATTCAGCTCGGTTCTGAAGCCCATCAGTATCCTTTGGGATCCTAACTCTAACACCCCATGTGTCTCCTCTTCTGCAACCTTAATGAGCCTGTCGTCTATACTTTTAGCTGAGTCATTGATCTAGAAGTGTTGACTAGCACAAGGTCAAGCACAGATCTCTGGGGCCCTCGCCTAGAGACTTCTCCCCAGGTTGTCACTGAACCCATCACAGACTCACACCTGGTTACTCACCTAGGCCTAACTCCATCTGACTGTCCTGTCATCCAGCCCACATATCACCATCTTCTCCCCATGGACTTTGTGAGAAATGGTTGAATGTCTGTCTTGACCCTGGCCAGGCATGTTAATAATAAGTATTCTTCATAACTCTGAATCTTCTGCGCTCTCTCCTCCTAGCCTCTGTCCCTATCCCCAGAAGACAGGGCTTCCTTTGCAGAGTCGTAGAATCTGGGGCTGGAAGGGACCCCCAGACATTTAGAGAATGTAGCTTGTTACCTGTGCCTTACTAGGGGGTGGAAGGAAGATTATTCCTAGAGGATGGCCCTGGAGCTACCCTCTGATGCCAACACCCTTGTCTCCCTCTCTCTCAGGCCTACGTGAACATGGCACTGTTTGAAAACTTCACCTATGCAGGTATTGATGCCACTGCAGAGGAAGCCTGAAAGTCTGTGGTGGCTCTGTCCTCCCTGCTGGCCCTTCAGCCCCCTGGTGGACAGATGCACACAAGTCCACCTCGTCCAGCATGAGACCACAAAGCTCCTGTGATCTTGGACCAAACCAGCCTCAGTGAATCATATTTTTAGTTTGGCAAATAGAAGGGGTACAGATGGCAGTGCCAGGACCCCTGTGCCAGCTCTGGACAGCTCCTGCTGCCTTTCCCCCGGTGCACTTACTCCTCCTCCGTTGAATTATTACTTGCCCCTCCCCAATAAGCAAACCCTCCCTCTCTGTAGTTACTCCTCTCCCTCATGCAAATACCTTCCCCACATAGCCCTGCCCCCTCCTATGCCCTCACTGGGGGCAAATAGGGCCAATAAAACATTTGGTTATGCCCCAGAGTCTTGCTATGGTGGATTTCTTCTCTCTGGCTTTACTCTTAGATTGGGGGTGGGGGAGGACATTGAGAGAGATTAGATGAATCAGATATGATCCCAGGGTAGCTACTAGGACTCCTGAAGACTGAACTTGGGCCCTGTGTCACACCATCACCCTCTTGGGTAATGATTCTCCCCTACATCAGACAAGAAAATGTATTTAGCAGCTAGATGGAGGATGGGTCAGAGAGGGAAGGAGAATCTGGGAACCACTGGGAGATGGTCAAATAGGTCCAGGCAGACATAATGAGGGCCCGAACAAGAGTGATAGCTGTGGAGGGGATGGATGGAGATCTGGCAACTGATTGGGTGTGTGGGAGAGGCAGTGAGGGAGTCAAGAGTCAAAGGTGACTCCAAAATAGCTGATCTGAGTAACTGGAGGGATGAGGAAGAAGGTGTGGAGGGAGAATTGGAGGAGCGCTGGGTTGGGGAGGGAAGGCATGAGTGTCCTCTTGGACATGGTGGGCTTGGAAAGCCAATTGGACTTCTAGGTGGGGATGTCCAGGCAGCCATTAAAGGGACAGCGAACTCAGGAGTGGGGCTGGGAGTCACCTGCCCATGGGAAGGAGTTGACTAAGTGAGAGAGTGTATCAGGAGGAGTGGAGGGCCTAGGAGAGAGCCTTGAGTGAGACCCATAGCAAGGAGGAGGGACAGAGGTCACTCGTGACAAGGATCTAGCAAAGGAGACTAGGCAGTCCTGGAGGAATGGGAAGGTGTCTCTGAGAAGGGGTGCTTCGCCATCACAAAAGCAACAGTCCAAGAAGGGTGAGGACAGAGGAAAAATGCTGGATTTTCCTATTCATGGCCAGTGGGAGAGTGCTTTCCATTCAGAGATGAAGATACATATTCCAGGCCAATTCAACCCAACCAACATTGAGTAGATGTCTCCTCTATGCTGGGCACTGTCCTGCCTGGTGGGCTCACAAAGACAAGAGAAACAATTGTGCCTGCCCTGAAGGAGCTGCACATGCCAGATTTTATATGTGTGTGTGTGTGTATGTATATGTATATATGTATGTGTATGTACATGTGTAAATGTATATATGTATATGTATACACACATACACAAAATATTTTAATTTTTATTTATATATTATCTATTGTATTTTCTGTTTTATTTATTTTTATTGCACACATACACATACATATATGCCCATTAAGGGGGAAAGGAGAGAGCACTGACAGCTAAAAGAATCCAGGAAGGCTTCTGGTAGGAGAGGGCATGGGAGATGAGCGTTGAAGGATGCTGGGAATTCTGAGAGGTAGAAGCACAATCAATCAATCAATAAACATTTATTAAGATCCTACTATGTGCCAGGCATAGGAAAGACTGCCTATAAAAATGCAGGGAAATGGAAGATAGGGTGCTAGGTTTGAGGATGAGCAAGCTGGCCTATTGGGCTGAAACAGGAGAGTGTGATGGGGAGAAGAGGAGACAGTGTGGCTAAGCCTAGGAAGCTGGGTTGGTACCAAGGCCAGAAGGGTGTGTATTGGATCATAGGGAAAGAGGGAGCCACTGACGTGTCAAGCAGGAGAGCTGGTCAGACCTATGCTTTAGGAAAATCACTTTGGCAGCTATGGGAAATAGACAGGAAGGAGGAGACACTGGGACTGAGTGACCCCCCCCCCCAGAAGGTTATTACAATAGTGCAAGCAAGAGGTGATGAGGGCCTTCACCAGGGTGGTGGCCATGCGAGAAGAGGACAGATGCAGGAGATATCTTAGAGACAGAAACAGCAAGGTTTGCAAATGATTTTACAAAAATGATCTCATTTGTATCTCACAGTAACCCTGTGAGGTAGACTTCATCACTACGCCCACTTCCCTTGGGTCAATACTTATGAGGAAACTGAAGTTCAAAGTAACTGGCCCAGAGTCACAGAGCTCCCAAATGGCAGAGATGGGATTCCAAAGCCTCAATGCAAAAGACTAAGAGAGATCCAGACAACCAACAGCCCAGACAAGTCAAGACTCTCCTTGAAGACCCCCAGTGACAGGGAGCTCAGTACCTCCTCTCATAAGAGTGGAGACTCTCAGAAAAGACCTTAGAGTGTGTTTTCAATTCAGTCCTTTCTCAGTTGTGTCTGACTCTTCATGACACCATTTGGGGTTTCGTTGGCAAAGATACCAGAGTGGTTTGCCATTTCCTCCTCCAGTTCATTTCACAGATGAGGAAACTGAGACAAACAAGGCTAATTGACTTGCCCAGGGTCACACAGCTAGTAAGTGCCAGAGGCTTAATTTGAACTCAGATCTTCCTGACTCCAGGCCTAGTGCTCTATCCCCTGTGCCACCTAGTTGCCCCTTGGAGTTTGGTAGTCTTGTCCTTATTGCCTCAAGCATCCTCTCTAGAATAAACCTGACAAATGGGCATTATTTAAAAACTTCCAAGGGAGAGAAGTCCATCTCTCCCTGAGGCAATCCCTTCTACCTTTAGAGATCCCCGATCCCTAGGAAGCTTTTCCTGGAATCAAGGCTAAATTGGTCTCTTTGCAGCTTCACCACCCCCACCCCCACCAGCACCAGCACCAGTACCACCACCCCCACCAGCACCAGCACCAGCACCAGCACCACCAGCACCACCACCACCACCACCAGCACCACCACCACCACCACCACCATCACCACCACCAGGACCACCAGCACCACCAGCACCACTACCACCCCCACCCCTACCAGCACCACCCCCCCACCA